GGTCCATATCACGCATTGCAGTCCAAAGTAAAAACTATGGCAAACCCAAAAACCTCTCCCGCCTCTTTTCACTGAATCCTCAAATATCAGACGATTTTAGCATAAACATCTGCTCCCATCCCAGAAAACTCCAGTTCAATCTCCGAAATCAAGAGCGAAATTCCGAGAAGATATGAGGGAGGAGCAAATAGAGAAGCTCCGGGGCGTGGTCCGCGACTGCGTGAGCAAGCACTTGTACTCGTCGGCGATCTTCTTTGCCGACAAGGTGGCGGCGGTCACGGCGGACCCCGCCGACATTTACATGCAGGCGCAGGCTCTATACCTCGGCCGTCACTACCGCCGTGCCTTCCATCTCCTAAATGCCTCCCAGATTGTCCTCCGCGACCTCCGCTTCCGCTACCTTGCAGCTAAATGCCTAGTAATTACTTCATGTATTTTTTTTTTTCTTTTATGTTTTTTTTGTTTCCTATAATCAAGGTGACGAACACCTTAGATATGATATTCAGCTGAAGGTTAGGGTTCAATGCGTGGCCTTTGGGATGTGCTTAAGAAATTTTGAATTTTAGCTGGTAGTGATTCATTTTCTTTTGGATTCTTGTGGTGATGTCTGAGGATGCCGAGTTAATTTGTGAAAATGTAACTGAAGGACCACAGTGAGATTTCGTAATTCAATTCGAAGATATAAATTTACTTGGAATTTGGGGATTATATTACCCATTAAATGTAGGAAGTTCTAACACTTTATAGATGTGTGGAAGTTTGCATTTTTTGCTTTGTATATGCTCCAATGAAATCTACCAAGCAGACCAAAACTGCTTCGGCAGTGGGCTTTGATAAAAAATCTGCACAATCAGTTTAAGTTTCATGTAACTTTCCTTGTCATAAGTTTTGTAGTATTGATGTAGAGCAAGCTTTTTTAATAGAATTAGGATGTCCGGCAACCACACTATATAAGGTAGAGCATTTATTGATCATTGGATAGGTCTATCTGTTTCTTGAATCTTTCTGAAACTTCTAATGGTTCAAGTGATTAGTTGGCATAATTATCAATTCTCATGATACTCATTGACTAAGAACCATATTGTACGACCAGGAAGAATTAAAGGAGTGGGATCAATGCCTATTAATGCTTGGTGATGCAAAAGTGGATGAAAATGGTAACATTGCAGACACAAAGGATTTCAATAGTATGTGCCTCGATAAAGATGGTGAAGATCGTGAAATCAATGTAAGTTTGTTTGGTATGAATATGGCATCTACTGCTGTTCACTTTGAAATGTAAAGAGATAGATGGAAAAGGGGGAGAACGTTGACAATTTTGTTGATAGTGCTCTGATTGAAGAGTGATGCTTATATGACTGGCAGATTATATCAGCAATATGCTTTCTGAGAGGCAAGGCATACGAGGCCCTGGAAAATCGTTCACAGGCTCGGTTATGGTGCGTGGTACATTTATGTGTTTGCATGATTCTTTTTACCAGTACATGTATCCTTGTTATGTCACATTTTGTTTCTTATCTATGGCATCAGCTGTCCAGTCTTTTATGTAATCCCATCAACTTTTTATGTATAAGAGTTTGATGGAGCGAAACGATGTTAAACGTGAGTGCCAGAGTAACTGACATCAGTAAATATAACTGCCATTCCGAACAACTTGAAAGATGAGGGAAATTGAACTTTATCATTTTCAATTCCATGAATAAGTTATGCTGTAACACAGTGAAAATCCGTAACGAAGAGGCCATTGTGAAATGTTGTTAATTTATGCCAAAATCTAAATACAAGAGTTGTTAATAATAAGTTAATTTGCAGCATCTCCAAACTGAGTGGTAAACTCTGGCCACATCTGAAAGCATGGAATATAAACAGCATATTAACCTTCACCGAGTAGCTTTGCTACATATAGAATCTTTTCATCAGTTCAATTGATAAATCCTCGACGATAGTGGCGCTCTTATGATTGGTGGAATAACATTAGTTATTTAAAACACTCCATATTGTGATTTTCTTAAAAATGGTATTGGGGTACTGAGCCCATCTGTGCTTTTGCTCATGAAACATCTCATATCTACTTAAAAATGGTATATTTGGATTTTTTGCTTTATGATTTTCTTGCCCAATTTTGTATAATTACCGGGTTAGCGTTTTCACTCTTTTTCCTTTCTGTCATTTTCTCTTGCTACCTCGCTCGTCTCCTTTAGCTTTCTGCAGCTGTTATTATCAGTGTATAGTGTAATATTCTTTTATTGTTGATAATATCTGGGTAGAGTAGATTCGAGCTGTCTAGCAACAGTCATAACCTTACTTTTTCCATGACACTTGAAGGTACAAAGCTGCGATTCGAGCAGATCCTTTGTGTTATGAGGTACCGTAGTATTTGCCTAGTCCTCATCGTTTGAATCTAAATTAATAGTGATTTTCCAGGTCAACGTTCGACACATATTTATATCTATATCAATTATTAAAGATTATCATTTTCATGGACATAAGACTTTTTTCTTATTCAGGCCTTGGAATGTCTAATGGAAGGTCACATGCTTACTTGCGAAGAAGGTGGGCACAAATTGAAGAATGAATTGTCACCACCTAAATATTATTTAAACACACACATATTGCTTTGTTGAGTCTCGATCATTTACCTTCGTTACCAATCAGTATCACTGAAGAAAATGATTCCCAATTTCCAGCGATGTATATTTTTTAAATGCTAAAAATCTGATTCAGTTTTCTGCATATTCTAGAGGCCAATCTACTATCAACATTGCAATTTGGTGCAGAAGATGGATGGCTTTCTTCATTTTATTCATGCTTGATAAAGAAAGTAAGTAACATTCTGATTCTGAAGGCTCTCACAGTTCCAGGTTCATGAAACTAGGTACTCTATTTGATAATGTACTAAACTATCGTGTTAGTAATATTAATCCTGTGATGTTTTTATCCCCAGTATGATAAAGAAAATATTGTTGAAGACAAGTTTAAGGAGCTCGAGCTGGAAGATTCTGATACAAAGACTTCTGGAAAATCATTATGTTCACTGAAGAACAACACTGATCTCTTAGCCTGCAAAGCTGAGTACTACCATCAGTGTGGTGAATACCAGAAATGTTTTGAACTAACTTCAGTGTAGGTTTACAACTCTTCTAAGTTGAATTAAATATGATATTCAGTTTTCTGATGACACTTTCTTCTATACACATGTTTGATCCAGATTGCTCGAGAAAGACCCTTTCCACCTAAAGTGCACTTTGGTGCATTTAGCTGCAGCCATGGAGCTTGGACATTCGAATGAACTCTATCTAATGGCATGCAATTTAGTCAAGGATTATCCACAGAAGTGAGAATGGTAGTTGTTTATTTCCATTTTTTTGGGTTTATGTCTCAGTTGCCTCTTGTAACATGTTTATGCAGAGCACTGTCATGGTTTGCTGTGGGCTGCTACTATTACTGCATAAAAAAGTTCGACCAATCACGTCGATATTTCAGGTATCGCCCATGCCAATTGTTCTATTAATGACTTATCGTGCTTTCTCTGTTATGAAACTTTATCTGAAGCATAATATATCTATACGAAGATCAGTACTTGTTTAAGAGAAATTTATTCTCCCTGTTCAATCCCTTTTCAGTAGCCAGGTGTTGCTGACGTAGATTTTAGTGGAATGTCCAATTATACGATACCGTATTCAGTTGCCAGTCTAGGTTCGCATGTATAGAAATGCATAACATTTATGCTTTCTGACGGTTTGAGCTTTTGAAAGAACTGAAAATGTAGGACGGAAGAATTATTATTATTTATATATAGTTATCTGAAGGACAGGATAGATAATGAATTTGGTTTTATTGTAGTATTTTTCCATATTAGTTATTAAGGCCCTTTTCAAATTAATTTATGTGTTGATTATTTAAACCTTTGATCCAGATGTTCTTTATGCAATGGATTGCTTCCAATATCTGATTGGGATTAGCACCGTTGGGGGGGGGGGGCAAATATGAAATCACTTACTTCGGCAAACTACTACTTTGATTTTTGATTGTGGTGTCATAAAGCTAGTGACTCACATTCCAATGTTGATTAATTGATTCATTTCTTATCTTTCTCCAGCAAGGCAACAAGTTTAGATGGAACGTTTGCTCCAGGCTGGATTGGCTCTGGGAATGCATACGCAGCTCAAGAAGAAGGAGATCAAGCCATGTCGGCTTACCGTACTGCTGCTCGATTATTTCCTGGGTAAATATTTTTGCTGTCTATCTTCTTATACATTTGTAGAGTCTAGTTTTCATCATGTTCTACCTAAGATGATATGCATGTTTTCCTTATGCATCTTTCTTATCTGAATTTTGATGCATATATTAAATTTTTAACAGTTCTTTGTCTGCTTGATATCATTTAGGTGCAGTGTGGTGATGTTATGGATGATTGTACCTCATTTATTAATTGTTGACCTTCTCTTTCAAGTTACTCTGGTGTATTTCAATCCATTTTTCATTCTAAATTATTTTTTATTTTCCTTTTTTTTCTTTCTTTTGGTCATGTTGTACTCGTGAGGGTGGCAAAGTTTTGTGCTGGCAGCCAACCTAACGGCAACCCTCCTCCTTTACATTGGCTTGGGACAGTCAACTCTAAACTCTTAGGGTGTTTATAGCAGGCGGAGTTTTTAACAGCTTGTTGATTGATTGATTGATTTTTGTCATGTTGTAAGTGGCCATTCGTCCAGAGAATGCTTCAAGGTTGGTCATATTAAGCTAGGAAAGGAAGTATCTAAATGTTGCCTATAAGAAGTTCAGGAAATATGGATAATTGGCCCTGACCCCTTGATGTAATATTTATTATTTTAATTTTAAGTGATAAAGTAGTGCTAAATCTTTTTAAATGTCTGTGTGTATGCTGGCTGCGTAGTTTCGTTGACTTGATTTTAAACTGCCACAGTGGATTTGAACCTCCCCTAAAACATTTCCGGAGTTTCTCGAACTCACTGGTGGTGTGGTAAATAGTAATGATAGAGACATTACATTTTACCATTACATATCATGTCATTTAGGAGCTTGAAGTCTATGTTGGGTTGACAAGAGTTCCTCAGTTAAAAATTAAGAATCATGGGGCTAACTGCCATTGACCTTACAACAACAACAACGTAGCCTTTTTTGTCCCAAGCAAGTTGCCATTGACCTTGAGTTGGACATATGAATGAGCATGTGAAACTCTTTTCCTTGATTTGCTACTTCACACTATGGTCCTCTTAAGCTTGTAGTGCGATAAATATTTTTCTATTTTGGGAATTGGTGCTTAGGAATAATGACTTACTAGGCGACTTTAGTGAAGTCTTAATTCTACTCATTGTGGAAGATCTTTGAAGAACTTATTTTATTAAGTTCACAATTTACAGCTTGAGAGTTCATTTGCTTCTATTCCAGATGCCATTTGCCAACTCTATACATTGGGATGGAATATATGCGAACCCATAGCTTCAAACTTGCTGAGCAGGTGATAATGACTGTCAACTACAGAGTATATTCTGTCCACTGTTTCGTTTTAGGGGGTTTAGTGTCGATTAGCCGTAAAGATGGAAAGTTCATATTTTTATTTAACCGCTGTTGTTGATCTAGTTCAGCTTTCTTAACAGAAATTTTATTTCAGTTTTTCATGCAGGCTCAAGCTGTATGTCCTTCAGATCCACTTGTGTATAATGAGCTTGGAGTTGTGGCTTATCACATGAAAGAGTAAGAGATTTTACCTAAAAGAAATTACCAGGAATTGCTGCTATATTTTTTTTTTTTTGAAAACATTGTTCATACTTCAGTATTGTTTTATTTCGTTTAATGTATCATATGAGGGGAATATTACGAAATAAATTTTGAATTTTTGAGGAGTCTCAGGTAGCTACTTCTAGGCCTCATAAATTCTGAAATGATACGTATAATAATATTTTGACCCTCGGTTCTTGGAGGTTGTAAAATATTCTTCATTCCCTCTGCCTAAAGGACGGGATATTGGACCTTATGGGAGTGCACGGGATTTATATAAGTTCTTTGTTACTAAGGATTTTATAGTATATTAGATTGAAAATAGTGTCTTCTTTCGAGTTCACTGATATGAGAAAGCTGTCTCTCAAAAGCATTTGAATATGTATTGTTGTATCTCCGTTGGTTATTCAAATCTAGCACAAATGAAGTTTGTCAATCTATTTACAGATGTATGTGATCTTCAGTTGATGATTGAGTAAAAGAAAACTATCTCCAATGAAATCAGATGTTTATAACATTGTTTGTGCCTGATCCACCCTACCTAACAAATACGTGCACTCATCATCTGTACTTTTGGAAGAAGTCTTCGTGTGTACTGTGAATGAGATTCTGGTGTTGAAAAGATCTTCTGTGCTTGGATCTCTGGGGTTTGTGAATCAGGTTCAAAAGAAAATTTTATAGCTGCCCAATGGAAGCTGTATGATATTTGGAGTTTGGTGTCATAAGTCATACCTTTATGCATTTCCATTATTGAGAATCTGTTAGTAAAATCATTGTTTATTTATTGAACTCTCTTTCATTAGATATCTGCACAAAATATCCCAGACAGAATCAAACTTTTCATACAAAATTATAAATCGTTATACTGTAGTATGTTATTTTCTTTCCCAAAACAATTTCAGGTATAAGAAGGCTGTTTGGTGGTTCGAGAAGACATTAGCTCACGTACCCTCCTCTTTAACTGAGATGTGGGAACCAACTGTAGTCAACCTTGCTCACGCATTGAGAAAACTAAAGTATGTATGATCTTTTTATGCTTTCACTGATTTGTCGGCCATACAAGTTGGTACCTGCTATCTACTGTTCTTGATTCGTCATTCATGTCCTATGTACCATAGTTTTTTTTTTAATGGTCATTTTTTTTCTTCATATGCTATATTAAGTGCTTTATTATTTAGAAGTTTTTCTGTATTATATTGTGATATACGGTTAATAAAATGCACTAAACACCAGGAGGTACAATGAGGCAATCATATACTATGAGAAAGCACTGGCTTTATCAACTACAAGCTTGAGCACATATGCAGGTCTTGCATACACATATCATTTGCAGGTTATTATTTTTTTATTTATTTATTTTTTTTTGCTCGATACCATCTTCTAAAATTATTGATGAAAAAAAAAATTTCTCACGCGTCTTCCTTTTTTTTCCAGGGGAATTATACAGCTGCAATTACACACTATCACAAGGTACCCTTTTTTCTCACTTTTCAGTTTCCAATCTTTTGGTTAAATATGTCAGTTTACAAATGTGCAAGCACTTGGAGTTGAAAAGTTCGTGCTCTGATCATTCTTGTGCACATTTGGATATTGACAGGCTTTATGGATCAAAGCAGACGATCAATTTTGTACAGAAATGCTGACATGGGCTCTTGAAGATGAATGCCGTAATGGCGTGATCCCCAAAGTAGAGTCAGTTAGAAGCCAGTTATTTACATAAATGAAATGCAATTTTTGCATGTTATTTAAGTTGTGTTGTAATCTGTTCGAACTTCGAAAGATAGTAAGATATAGCGCTAGGTCGTACTCAAATGTTGTATCATCTTTTTTTTTTTTGGTAGCAGTTCCATTTTGACTTGTGCATATTTTAGTTGGACTAGTAAAGTGCACGTGCATCCACGTTGTGCAATTATTTTTTGCTAATTAATGTTGTTGTGGTAATGAACTTAACAATAATTTAAATATAGAAATAGTAAGGTATATTATAAAGCATCCTTATACAAATTGTTAATAAAATTAATGATTTATTTAGAATTGGAAGATAAGGCAATTGTTGTGCTCTACAAATTGTTATTTTAAAATTAATGTTGTTGTGCTCTACAAATTGCTAATAAAATTAAAAGTTAATTGCAAAAAAAATCCTAACATTTTGTTAAATTGCACATAAAACTCAATCTTTTTTATTTTGCACCAAAATACAAATCTTTTTAAATTTTTGCAATCTTGTCTCAGAGTTGACTTCCGGCAAAGGTTTGCTGACGTGGCCGATCGGAAAATTGACGTGGCAATCAAATTAAATAGCTGGTGCCACGTCATTAGACACGTGTATTTACACATCACACCCCCCCTCCACGTCATATAACTGGAATATAATTTTATGTTCTTTCAATTCATCCACATTATTCGATTTCCCATTATTCGCATAAATCTGAGAAAAAATAAAAGACGAGCAGCGAGGAGCTTTCTTCTCCATTCATTCCAGGGGCGGCAATTTACCTCCAAAATTCGAGTAGTGCTATGCGATTTACCTCCATAGTGGTCGATATTTCTTTGGGGAAATTTTACAAACACCTTGTAGACAAGAGTTTGAAGTAGAGAGCTTGGATGAAGGCAACAATGGTGGAACCCAATGTGTCTCTCACTTCAATTGCAATAATTCATCAACAAACCCAACAACTCAAATACTTCACAAAGTAGCAAGAATTTTTATTACCGGAAAGTGGATTCTCGAATACGCTATGTGCAATAGTGGACTTCGTGCTGGAGGGAGATGAGGCGGCGGGGAGTGGACGGCTTCGTCGCTGCTCGTGCCCGGAGAGGACGCCGACGAGGATGGCCGGAGAAGGCGACGCCGGCGAGAGCTGTTGGAGAGGACGACCTTAGGGTTCTCGGGTTCAAACTCCAAAGGTTCGGTAAGATTCTCTTCGTGACTGCTGGTATAAGGAATTTTGGAGAGGAAGGACGAATTTTCGAGATGTTGCAAGGATTTGGAGAGAAATTTGATGTTGGATATTTGTTGGGAGCAAGAAAATTGCAGGTACTCTTGAGAGGAAATAACAGTTGTAATAATGCCCTAATTCTGCTCAACGGAGGTGAATCGCATAGCACTACTCAGAATTATGACGTGGAAGGGTGTGATGTGTAAATATATCTGATGACGTGGCACGAGCTATTTAATTTAATTGCCATGTCAATTTTTTGATCGGCCACGTCAGCAAATCTTTGCCGGAAGTCAACTCTGAGACAAGATTGCAAAAACTTAAAAAGGTTTATATTTTGGTGCAAAATAAAAAAGATTGAGTTTTATGTGCAATTTAACAAAAGGTTAGGATTTTTTTGGCAATTAACCCTAAAATTAATGATTTATTTTGAATGGGAAGATGAAGCAAAAGTTAGTAAAATTAATAATTTATTTTGATATGTATATGGTAAAGTGTCTTAAATTGTTTGCTTCTAAATATGCATTTTTCAGTAAGAATCTTAGCCATTTGTTTCATTAAAGCTTTCGTCGTGAGGATCTATGACTGAAGATGTAATTGGCTACCGAGCAAAAGAAATAATAAGGAGCATTAACATAAAGTGCTAGAAATACTTGAATAAAATGTTCTACGATAAATTAGATGGAAGATAAAAAAAAATATTATTTAAAATGTGAAACCAATGAACTACATCAAGAATGTAATTAAAATTTGTTCTTAAATTAATTATATAGTGTTCAAACTCTTCTCTTTTTTTTGTTGATGATTTAAGGAGATGATTTCTTTTCCTTTGATTTTGAATTTTTATCGTGCACATTTCTTTTTCAAACTATTGAGTGATCTCATGATCCTCAATTGTAACGACACTATAATTATCATTTTCATTTATCTTCTCAGAAATGTGCTTTCTTTTTTTTATGTTGTTTTTTTCTAGATGACACATGTTTCTTTTGCAGATCACTTGGTGAATTGGGAGAATTTGACGGTCTTTCTTTCATTTCATCATCATTTGTAGATTGTAATCTTGCAATAACTTCGGCAACCACGTTCAGTTCTCCCCTTGAGTTGTAGGCCTTATGATTTATTTGAATAAAAAATTAGAATTCGATGGTTGATTACAAGCTTAATCTTCGATAACAGTCAGATGATTCTTCTCCCTAATAAGTAGGAACAGAAAATGAGTTAAAATTGAGTTTTTGAAGAAGAAATGAATCTTAAAGTTACAAATATGATGTAGTCGGCAATAGGACACCCCACGTAAACCATTGTGACATTTTCAAAAAGTGTGATAGTACCACTGAGGTTTGGTTCAACGATATTTAGAACCAACCTATATCTGTAATTAATAAATTTCTTATAGTTGTGTTTTGTTTATAAAACATAACATAGAATCTTTTTGGTTTTTCTTATTACCTTGAAGTTGTTTCCACGATATTGTTTCACTTTTTACACGTGTTGCTGCCATCATTCTTGTCAACTGGGGATGAGCATTTTTTGTACGACTCATACCATACAGACGCTTTGTTCATGACCTTGTCGACGAATCCTCTTAAACAATAGTGTTTGCCCTGTCATGGATAAAATGTTTATAGATTTAACTATCTATATATATATAAAAAGAATTATCATTTTTCAAAAATAGTAGGTCAACTTGGTCAAATTTCTGTTAGCATTAATTACCTACCATTTTTAGTAATTTTTTTTTTATTTATTTTTTTCAAAAAAATTAGCAGCATTAAATACTACCCTAAAATTATGGCATTTGTTATTTTTGTCCTCAGAAAATCGTGACGTGATATATGGTAAGTAGTCAAAATGTTTAACATAATAGATCATGCATATTTTTTAATTTACGATATATGAATCGAGATTTCCATCAACCACAAGTTCAACCTTTTATATATCAAGTAATAGTGCTACAACACCTGTATAAATACACAAATGTTAATTAAAATTTTATACTTAAAACAAAAAATGTAAGTTCTTATGAAATATTATAAATACATTTTAAAAAATAGTTATTATTTTTATTGAAGGACCATTATTGTAAGATTTTCTATTCCTTTGTCATAATAATTTTTATAATATATATATTTAAGTTTATTTTTATTTGAAATGGAAACTAAAATCCCGCTTAAAAAAATTAAATTTACTAAATTTGATAATCTTTTTTGAAAATTTTCAAAAAATCCCACCAATAGAGCTTCAATTTTGAGTTTAAAACATATCTGGATTTTATTTAAGGGTATTTATTATGAAAATTAATAAATCCGATCTTGGTATAAAGTAAGCGATTTTATTTGAGGTATCTGATGGCCATTATTATTTTTTTTTTGTATGAAATGTGTTGATATTAATATTTGTTTGAATTTATGGTATAAAGTGGGCGATTTATTTTCGTATGAAATTCTGAATTTAAATGGTATGGAAATTGGTATGGATAGAAGTGTATTTGAAAATTTTAAAAATAAAACAAGTGGTAGAAATTTTATTTGTATGAGTATGAAAGTCGAATTTTAGGTTGATTTGTTATATAATCAAGGTAATATGATTTTCAAATTTTAGCATATTCCTATAATAACTTTCTATAAGATATTGATGATAATTTGACAAATTGGTATGTATTTCTCATGAAAATCAGAAAAGATTTTTGAACAATTATTGGTTAATAAAATTTATAATTTGTAATTTAATACTATAGAATTATTTGATAAATTTCAACGATAAACGTACAACAAATTTAAAAAATTGCAAGATAAAATAAACACACA